CACGTTAAGTACCTCCGTTTTGCCGTTTAAGACAGGCAAACAAACAAATAGCTGTTCGCTCGCGTGGAATTCGGTTATATCGCGCTTTGTAGATTTTTCCGTGGGAATGAGAAGTTCTGCCGCGATAAAGCCTTGCTTTTCCAGGACTCAAACTACCTTGATAAAAAATTTCTTCGAAATCCGTTCAGCCGTTTAGCGTGAAAGAACAACAGAAGGAGTTATTTTCGCATTACCACAAATACCATCCTCCGATATTAATTTAAAAGACTTTTATTCCCTATAAGGGTTTCATTTGCAGTGTTAAACCAAAACTGATTGGTAAACTATATTATACGTTTTATTGTCGAAAACCTAACGACTTTAGACATCTTCTTAGGAATAAACCACTTCACTAATCTAACCTATTATACAGCTACTGTACCAATCAACAATGAACAAAGCGACTTAAAACGACGAAAAAAAATACTACTTTACATAATAATATCTACCTACAAAACATAACACTTGCCTAATCAACCCTACAGAGCAAACGAATAAAAATCAATAATAGTGCTAGATGCGTACACCGAAAAATAGTTGTTTCGGAAGCTCAGAACCTATACTTTCACCGGTAACGAAACCATAACGCCATCTAACTCGATCCTAACGCCATCCATCTATCGAGCATTGAAACAACAGCTAATTGTTGAGTATTGTTGCCACTATGATTTTGTGTACCTTTAACTACCTAAAATCTATAAAATACGCAATTTAATGTAAAATGGTTGGAACCAAAATTTAAAAGCGAAAAATACTTAGAAAACACAACGCTACCCCGTTAAATAAACACTCAGCGCCATCTATCGCCAAGTAGCGTAACTTAATAGTTACGCGAAATTGGTGTCTATGTAGTCATAGACACCAATTTCGTGTACTTTGTTGAATTGTTTTAAATTTATTTTTTGAATATTATATTAAGTAATTTGTTGAATTGTTTTAAATGGCATACAACGCCATCTATATGAATACACACAGCGCCATCTATACTAATATTTTTGGTTTCCCTCGGGAATATAATATTTTTCCGGGATAGAAAGTACCCTATTATTTAATCTCGACTTCTAACTTTACGTCTGCATAATTTCAAAGCAATCAGTTTAGTAGTTACGGCGTGAAAGCGGAACAAACAAACAAACAAACTCACTTTCAGATTTATAAGTAGTAGAGTAAGGATTCTTACTATTTTGATTAGTCTATGAATTGTAAAACACATGTTACTAAGCCACTTGATTCTGAAAAAAAAAGAAGAATGAGGTACGTACCTTCCTACGGAGGAGCCACTAACCATTCGAATGTTCCAATTATTGACATTAACAGATAAAGAAGTGTCATTAGTATGCAACATATACACAACCCTCCAAAGACTGTTTGCAAAAAGATGTTGCACATGCAACTGGAAATACAAGAATTAACTGCTTTAGTATTACTAACCATACTCAATTATCACTACATAGTTTAAAACAAAGTCGCTATCTGCCGTTTGTCTGTCCCTATGTATGCTTAGATCTTTAAAACTACGCAACGGAATTTGGTGCATTTTTTTTTTAATAGATAGAGTGATTCTTAAGGAAGGTTTATATGTATAATACATCCATATTGCACCCGTGCGAAGCTGGGGCGGGTCGCTAGTATTATTATAAATGCAAAAGTAATTCTGTCTGTCTCTCTGTCTAGATATCGATAAAGAAGAGATATTCTTCACGTGTACCACTAAATCGGTTTAGATGTTTTGCACAGAGACAGCTTGGGAACCGAGAAAAGGCATACTTTTCATCCTGGAAACCAATTTGAATGTTTGGTGCAAAGATAGATTAAATCCGGAAAATACATTAGATAGTTTTTGGGAACTACACTTTAAAATGTTGTAAACTACAGAAGCTATTTGAGATTAATAAAGGCTAGTTTTAATCCCGGAAAAGCCCAAAAAATGGGAACTATGCATTGAAATCTCGGGACTCCCTCTCTTTTATGCCATTGAAGCTATTTGAAATAATATGTGTTAAAATCCCGGGACTTGCTATATTTTTTAAATCATTAAAATTATTAGAGTGAAATTGGGTACAACGATAGTTTGAGGCCCCGGAAAGGTCGTAAGATAGTTTGTACCCCAGAATTCTTACAAGAAGTAACATAAACTATGCGTTGAAATTCCAGAATACTCTATCTTTTAATCGACTACAGCTATTTTAGTGAAATTCGGTGCAACAATAGTTCGAGATAAGGGAAAGTTCTTATATTGGAAAAGCCCAGAAACAAAAAATAACCGTTAAAATCTCGGGGCTCCCTATACTTTAATTTAAACCATTGAAGTTATTATGAGTATTCACCGATAAATGTATAACTATGTTAATTTAATTTATTTCGTGGTAAATCTATTGGTATTATCGAATCGCCGTGGAACCACTTTACAAGTTTTTTTTTGCATTTAAAAATTAATTTATAATTTAATGCCAGTTGCAGCTTTGTGCGACATCTTTCGTCTTCGTCTCAATATCCAGTGACTGAGTTTGTCTCCTCGCACGTGACGCAGTTGGAACTGGAGCTAAACAACTTTGAGACGACGGTTGCATAATGAAATGCTTGTAGTCTACTTGTTCCAGGTCTGCAAATCCTTGAACCCCTAAATAAACTCTACGAGACACTTCACAATATCCATATTCAACTTCGAGTGATACCTATACTGTCTACGTATGCTGCACTTCATGTGGACACCTTCGTCAATTGACGATTGTAAAACGAATGCTTGCATTTTGCGTATAAATACTTAAACAAAATTATTGCTATGGAATGGCAAGGTCCAGGCTAAGCCATTTTCATACAAATATTGTCATTCGTAGGCAGTATGCATTCGTCAAATGGCCTTTTCGCCGACGATGTCATGAATAGTATACCTTTTTTCTAAGGAGGGAAAATTATTAAATGGCGTCTCCCTTCTTGGTGTAGGCAAGAGGGGGTTTCAGACTTTTTCTGACAGCTTCGGGTAGTACCTCTTTCTGATAGGGCAGAAGGAAACATCCGGGTGGCACTACGATCACTAGGAGGACACTGTGGAACAAAGGATGGCAGTCTGCGCTGCATGGGCTGAGCACTGCTGTGTCCTAAGAGATCCGATCGGCGACTTCTCGCATCTGGCCTAGGCTCAGGCCATGATACGGAAAGAGAGGGATTGGAATGCCATCTCCTCCTTCTTCAAAGTAGGCATGCTAGCTAAGGAAGCAGGTCGTGCAAGGCACTCCAGGCGTCGGGAATTGCAAGATGATCGCGATGATGATGGCTTCAACTACAACCAGATCCTAGCGTATAACGTATCGCGATTAGTGTGTTTCAAAGAACCATTAGACTCCTGCTTTAAGCTGGACCTACGGTAACCGGAGGCCTGTGGTAACCGGAGGTTGTCACAGTAGGCCTAAGAGTAGAATTTGAGCAGCGTCTTTAGGTGTATGGTATCAATTTTGTTGCAATATATGATTGCTGAAACACTGATGCAGATAACAACCATCCTTCAATGCAAGGAGGATTAACAGAACAATTTACTCAGAGTTCATAAACAGATAGCTTAACAAAAGGATTACAAATAATTATCATAAAATTGGTTTTATAGAACCTTCTGTAACTTTTATAAAAATAGTTAGATTTACGACAATATACTCTCATTTAAAAGGCAAAATTAACTAGTAAACATGGCACAAATGTTTCAAATTAACAAAAAGTAGTTATTCAAAAATAAAAAAAGTTTATTTTTGTATATCGTGTTATGGAACTAACATTTCAATTATTGTTTGCAGACCGTGTATTCATTTTAAAAGTTACAGGCCATTAGTAAAGCTGAACTATAAAAAATGTAGTCATACAGCGGTTAGCCCAGATTGCAATTGGCGTAGCTTTATGACTTCTAACAATATCAGCTGCTGGTTTAATTTGATATGTAGACGCAGACGCACCACGCAACGTAAAGAATGATTACTAACACATAAAACTTCAAAATAGAATAGTCCGTGACCAGTTGGCTATTGTTTACATATTATTTATTCACGGACTTGCTGTAAACTCGGTCTACTAGTATTTTATATTTTCAAGAATAACTGTTGTTGGTTTCATATTCCGCCTTGATGTGTAAATTGGCAGAAATTATCTTTTAGATCAAATAGTATGTTGTATAATTATTAACTAAAATCGCAGGTCACTCACGCGAATATACTGAGAAAAGCTCTACTAGTTCCGAACCATGGAGGGTTATCCCCAAGTGGTCACCGGTGATTGCTCTCCACTGATTACATTATAGACCTTATTTCCAATGTTTAGAGACTACTTTTGTATGAACAAATTTAGGGGACGATTTTCAATAATTTTAATATAGTTCTGTCACTACAAATTCTTTGTAAAACGACAGAGATGGCACGATATTTAAGTACTACATAAGCAATTGAGTAACCTGTCAGTATTCGGCAGTTAATAAAATAAACATATACTACGTGTGTTTCAACTGTGGCAACTTTAAATAAAGAGTCGGTCAACAGCTGATATAGGTCTACTCTACAGTCTACACTTATCAAAGGTCATTAACCTAAGATTGTTCGTCGCCTTGGAATACAAAAGGACTTTATCTTATTCAGTTCTTTTAATAGGTACCCATAATGAGGGTACAGAGTAGTCGTACGTAGTAAAATTATGTACAGTTAATTTGGAATCGTCAATTACCTACCACATTTTTGTTTCTACATCCAATTTTCATAAAGGCATTTTATATTACCGATCTTCGTTGCAGGCCTCATGTACTGATATACTGTATTACTCATTCATTATCTAAATAACTCGAATTTGAACATTAAACGATATCAAGATTGTTGTCTCATAATAAACATTATTTTGATGACATTGACACAGACTTCTGTCTTGTGATAGCACTAATAAATATTGTTTATGTTTAAAATTGTTTTAAAATTGTAAATAATAGACACAAAACATATTAATTTGTACTTTTTATTGAGTCATTATTTTGACGAATAAAAGCACACACAATAACACAGAGCCGTTTATCTTGGCTGGCTGGATACAATATTAGTCTCAATCAATTCTTGTATTCTGGGGTCGTTGCTCCCCAATCGTGGATACGTTTAGCTTTAGTGGTATTTGAATAAATTTCTTTACAAATCCTCCAGCCAAGGCATATGACATCGCTGCGTAGGTGAACATACAAATTTCAGTAAATAGCCAAGTCAACGACCTCACGGCCATATAATGGTTACACGATTTCAAATCTCTAAGGTTTTCAGACTTCCCCACAAAATTATATTTCACCTTTATAATACTTATATAAAAAATAAACGCTAGTTACAAAATATATAAAAATATATTTATAACTAACGACGATGATTATAATAAATAAATAAAAAGATATAAAATAACTTACAACTAGAATACTTTATACTTATACATATTATTTACATTAATTTCTAGAAATTGAGAGGGAATGAAAGTGTGTTTCAAAAGCTTAGATTATATTTATAGCAAGGTTTGATATAGTCATTGTTTGAAGTAAGAAAATAGTTCTTGTGATGAAGTAAGAAAGTCGATATTAGAACTATACTAGTTTTGGATGATTGTTGTACATCAGTTGCCGGAGTTGGTTGGTGGCTTCGTCTGTGGATGTGCCTTCGTCTTCTGTTGGACAAAAAACAAACAATATTAAAATCTGTTTTGAATTGCATTAAAATATCATAGTTGTGATCATCATATAACTTCGAAACTACTAAAAACTTATTTACAAAACTCTACGAAAAGTCTATGACGATCAAAACAGTTAATAAATATATTATTTTAGCAGCATAGCAGCCATATATAGGTAGCCATCAGACCACCACAGATAGGGCTCAATATGGCTAATGCCGATACAGAGCCTCGGTCGACGTAACGGGTTGCTGGGGCTTCGGCTCGAAGAGCAGAAGTAGGAACGGGGTGGTTTTTAGTCAGTAAGAGTCTGATACTCCCTTTCGTCTCACCCTAGGTGGGAGAGGTCATTGAAAGATTAACCCTCAAATAAAAATTGGTCTTCGGGTTGGGAAAAGTAAAAAAAGTATTGTTCAATAAATATCAGTTCTGATATTTATCGAGATAATATATAAAAAAAGAAAAATGGTTGCCTGTAAAGTCGTTTTTACGGGCGAAGATTTTACGTGACAACGTCTTTTTCTCGGTAGAATATTTATTGATATGAATATAATTAAATTGCACAATAGGAACAAGGAATTGAATGAACTAGTGCTGCGCGCGCGGCAGACCGATCATAGTTGAGTGGGAGAGAGACGCAAGGCATTCGGCGGGCCTCTCTCTCGTTCGGTGACTCATCGTAACGTTACCGAGCGTTACACTTTTTCATAAGTGACTCCCAGCCGCAACCTAATTTAAGACGTTGTCACGTCAAAATGAGGTAATAAAGTCTTATGACTTTCCTATTTTATTAGTCTTATTTCTTGTTATGATCGCCTTGAGGGGAATTACTTGTCTTTGCAGAAGATCATATAAACCTTACAAACAATTTAAGAAAGTAAGACGATGAAAATTGTTCAGAAACTTGTAGATAGGACGTGTATTTGATATTATACCAATCCTATTAAAAATATAGTATTTAAGACTTTCAATTCTACTGTATAGTAATAAAGTTGAATATAGTTTGATTCTTGCCTAAGAGTATAAATGGGTCTTAAAGTACTTACTTCCGAAGATAGTTCCAGTTGCCCACAGGATGAGGAGGACCACTGCCACAATGAACAGCAAGGACACTATCAAACTGAGGATCTTGCAGATCAAACTACACACGCAACTGAAAGAATGAAATGAAACTTTATTAATACAACGTTAGGTTTATTTCGCTTTGAAATTGACAACTGCAAAAAATCATTATGGAATTAATTGCGACCATTACTTAATATGAAGTTTGTATTTGCTACAGTTTTTTTTTTAAATTTTCTATTCAATTATTAAAATCAGAAAATAATTTAAAATTTCGTGTGGTTTTAACGTCATCTTGTAGACTCATAAAAATGTAAGCTCAAGTTGCGTAAAGTATGCACTTCTTTATTAAACCATTTGAGGAAACAGACTTGACATTACCTGCTTATTTTTTAATTTAGTTCAAATTGTTACTAATACAGTAAAAACTTTACAGAATAAAGTCGAAGTCATATCACTACAACATAGTATAAAACAAAGTCGCTATCTGCCGGCTGTCTCTACGTATGCTTAGTTCTATAACACCACGCTACGGATTTTGATGCGGCTTTTTTTTATAGATAGAGTGATTCTTAAGGAAGGTTTATATGTGTAATAAATGCATATTGCACCCGTGCGAAGCCGGGGCGGGTCACTAGTTATACGATATAGTTAATTACATAACGATGTGTGATGAAAACAAATTGTTATTGTTTATGTATCCGAATCCGCATTGTGACAAAATACCAGGATTTTTAATAGATTGCTCTTTGATACCGTGCTATAGAGGTATTTTATCAGAATATATACCGATAATGTTAAGTAATCAGATCCGTAATGAAGTATTCTACGTAATATTCATAGATTTTTTGTTATATCGATATCGGAATATCGTGTAATAATTTTAGTTCCGGGTTGGGAAAGGTAATGATTTTTCTCCACATTGCCTCCATCGCCTCTCATTCGTTCGAGAATTACAATGTCATGAACAGACACATACATAGACAGACTTGTATAATCATGTCAAAATAAAAACACCTCTATTTTAGCGTTGACGCTTAATTATTGTGTTACATTTCACTTTAATTAACAGTGTTAAAACATTTCGAGGCTGTAACAACAGTTTACATCAAAAGAATATCAGGGAACGCTCTGTTTATTAATTACGGCATTGTTTATTATTTATTTAACACCTGGCAACGGTTAATTATGTTTGCAGTATCTTTTGTTATATCCCAAGGACTAAGAAAACGTCACACTGTACACAGTGCAGGGAAACTAAACAATGTTTCTCTGGCAGATAACTTTATGCGTTTGTTTCACTCATATAATATATTTTACGACAAACGTTAGCTCATAACTAGAAGTAAATCCATCAAAGCAAAACTGATGAAATTAAATGTTATGGAGTTTCCTATGAGACGGATATTATAACGCTGTTTTTATTTACAATTGCCTTGTCGCAATATTACAATGCTGAGTTTTTAGTATCACTTAAATATTAAACTGTCAAACACCAAGCGGTCACCGGTGACCGCAACCTATTGTTCTATAATTGTGTCTACAAAACCGGTACTCGACGAGTTAAGAGTTAGTTAAATAGTAACAGTATTCACATACAATTTCCAAGAAATGATGGCAAGGATTATCAAAATATTCTTAATTTTGAAGATGGTAGTCTATCAAAATAATAATTCAACGAATCAAAAATTGCCAAATTGTAAGGCCCCGTTACTTGCTATTATCAATTGTTCCCTAAATTTACCTATTTGATAATATTGATAAATATATGCTGTTCATAATTTTCCATTGTGTTAAATAGAAAAAAATTGATAGACGTGTGTATAATGCGATTCCGCAAAGGCTTAGGTTCACTATCTCGGTTATAAAAGATTACAGTCACGTGCAGACTTGTACAACGTGATGACATATAAACAAACACGTTTCTTAGTTGTTTTTTATTTCAAAATAATGTTCGTAATTCCCTTTAATAGTAGATAGGGTCTCTAGAATCATTATATCTGCTGCAAGACAAAATGTAGGAACTTCCATTATTTCCACAAGGGTCGTAAATACCAACTCAACAAAGGACTACATATTTTACAGAAACTGATAAACCCTAAAGTTACGTTTTTACTACAAACTAATTCTAACCGATGATGTAGCAGAGACTCACAGTCTAGTAGTAGGCTGCCATGGGGTTTTTTAAGGGGGAAAATCATCGAATGATTTCTCTCGCTTGGTGAGGCGGGAGAGAGTGTCAGACTCTTACTGACTAAAAACCATCCTGGTCCTACTTGCACTTCGAGCCGGAGCCCTGGTAACCGTTTACGTTCTCCGCGAATCCTTAAGACTGCCACGGGTGGTTAATGAATTTAGATTAGGTAACATGAAGTAAGGTAAGGTAATTACGTCTTAGTTCCTATTGTAATAAGGGCCAAACCAATTCCCAAACACCGGTAAAATATAGTCTATAGACTCATGTGTGACGAGGAGATTACAAAGATAACAGAAATGGAACACCTGATTTAACATTGCTGTTTGCATATTAAACGTCTGTGTAGGCATGCGTCACTTCAAACATTGGGTGTATCGTGTACCTAATTGTTATTCACGTTCTTTGTAAAACAAAATGCAGTCTTGTATAAAATGTAACAAAGTCTGTTTTAATTTAAATATAACATAGCATCATGGCTTTTACTCCTATCTTTATAGGAGTAAAAGTAAAGGTTTTTATTCAATGCAGCATTCTATGGACAATCACATTTTAACAATTATGTTAGAAGTTTTGTCTAATTAGGGTCAGATGGAGCAAATGTAGGAAGATAATTTTTTATTCAATCACTGCTGCTGTTAAATTTATAACGTCCAATGTTGTGACACTAGCTAATTACCCATTAATAATTACCCATTGGTCGAAAAACGAGAGGGTCACACTAGCGCCATCTTTTGAGCATAAAGACATAAAGCATACAGACAAGGGCAGACAGACACACACTCATATCATTATAATTTTCAGCTAAGTCCAGTTTCATACTAGTACATCATAAGTTCCAGGTATATATAAAGAACCCACAGATGAGGCCCAGAAGGGCTATTGCCCGATACAGAGCCGCGGAAGGCCTAACGAGTTACCAGGGCTCCGGCTCGAAGAACAGAAGTAGGAACAGGGTGGTTTTTAGTAAGTAAGAGTCTGACACTCCCTCTCGCCTAACCCAAGACGGGAAAAGTCATTGGATGATTTTCCCCCCTCAAAAAAGGTACAAAGAACACCGTTTCGTTCACAAATCTATTTCTAAACATAGGTCTAACCTAAATATCAGTAGTGATATTTAAGTAATTTAGGAAATCTAAGACCTATCATTGGGGAGTTGGATTCTAAATTGCTTGAATTTAACACGTTCGGCTATAACTCTTTCACTTACTGTTGGTTTAATAAGTCATTACTGATAATGAACGGTAAATTCTAGTCTTTGTTATAATCAGACTGTTTTTCTTACTCAGTCAAATAACATAGAACAATGGAGTTTACTCAACAAATAAACAATGACTAAATGGATTTGTGATGCAATTTTCGAGGTATACGTCACTGTCATGATTTGCAACAAAAAAGGTGTTGATTATTTCTATTCTGCAATACAATAGGTAGGTACACTAAATTTTCAAGGACACTATGTTTATAGGAAGTTGTTTTTAAATCTGATGTTACTAAATAGTATTACAATTTGTATAATATTAATGCTTTAATGTTGCCTGCGTGACGTTTGGTGGCTGCGCATTTTGTTCATGACCATAAGTCCCGGTATTGGCTTGAAACTAGTTGAGCATTCTCAAACAATTTACGAGAGTTAGCTGTATTATGTTAATAGCACTTGAATATTTACAAACAATAGTTAGGTGGTGTAAAGTATCTAGAAAAAAAGTAAATGAATGAATGACTAACAGTACACTGTGTATCTCAATACTATGGTAGTACTAAGTCGCCATTTTTAAGGCCGTCTCACGGAAAACGCGCGAAGAATATTTATTAGAAAGTCGAGGTCGTTGGCAGCGACGAATACATTAAGTACTCGCTAAGTAATGGTAGCAGACAAAATTATATTTATTTTATAATATATTTACAGAAATCACTTCTTAAAATAATGTTTCTATAGATTATTCTGGTTTTACTTTTACTTCGTTTTTGATTTCGTGTAAAGGTAACCACTAATAAACTAACTTCAAAAAAAAAAAAAACTTGGTGTCGCATTTTTACAACAGATACCTACATATTTAATTGGATGTTACTACAAAACTATTAATGTTACGATGTTAAGGCCTTCCTTAATCTTAATCAGAAATCGCAATCCTTGCATTCAATTACAATTTAGCGATTTCATACAATGCATGACAGATGACACATTTACCCTTGCGTTTATCAAACAAATACAAAAAATGTTCTGTAATTGGGTACATACGAAGCCGCAAAATTATCGATGAATTTGTCCCTATCTTCGGTAAATTAAATAAAGATAACATTGTCAGCAATAAGAACAGTCGCTAGCTTAATTTGTGGACTGATATGAGATAAACATTGATTGTGTTATTTGTATTACAATATAGTCATACTTTATCTTTTGCCGATGTGTAATATGACTTGTATTTGTACCTTTTTAGAAAAAAAACTAATTGAATAAATAAGTAATGATGCGCTTCTGAATTAAAAGGACTAATAGAATAATACTTGAAAATGGTTAATGGGGAGAAAACAATACAATCATGTTTATTTGAACAAAAATGACGCCTTTTAATTCCTAACAGACGGCGGTATACTAATAATGTAACACGACCATTATTCAACCGTTATACTATACTAGCTAATTCCGCGCGGTTTCACACTCTCTGCTCAGCTCCTATTAGTCATAGCGTGATGTTTTATAGCCTATAGCCATCCTCGATAAATGCGCTATCCAACAAAGAAATAATTATTCAAATCAGACTTGTAGTTACGGAGATTATCGCGTTCAAACAAACAGACAAAAAAACAAACTCCTCCCCTTTATATAATAGTGTGAGATTACGAGTTCCATACAGTAGGCGGCGATATTGTATATTGTGGATGAAATAATAAAATTTATCTTATTAACATTTTTGATGCTGTCTGTACGTGCTCTCAGCTGCATCATGAAGCTGATTGGTCAATAATGTTTACGTCACGAATTTACCAAGTGGTAGAGAATGCAGCCAGTACTGAGATCTGACTGTTGATGAATAGACGAATGATTGTAGAACAATTTATAACAGATAAAAACAATAATGTTAGTTGAGTTGACTATCATCAATTGAAGAAAATTAGCGTTTTACTATAACCTGTTAAGTTGTGTAGTTAGAGAATAAAACTGTCCCGTGTAAAAGTGTTGTTTATTTATAACATAATGCGTTTAATTGCAACATAAAACATGTTATTATGACTGCACCGTACGTGCATTTAATAACAACGCTATAAAATAATGAATAGTAAGATTTTTTTCAAGTAAAAAACGTGCATATAACAACATAATTACAATAAAATATTTACGTTGGTCGCGTGATTTTTGTTACTTTATTTTAGTTGATTAGTAAATAGTTTAATTTGTTTGATAACAATAAGAAATAAACAATTGCAAAGAAACTTACCACATTTTGTTTTTTTATAAAATACGGCTATGTACACTGATTTCGAGTCAACTGTTTGTCCACGACTGAAGCGCAATGACCGTCGTTAGAATTTAAACACGACAAAACTTATCACTTGTTCCTATCGAAATTTATCTGTATCGATCGATAGTTACGTAGGATTTATCAGTTCACTAGATATACATGTACCGATATAGCACCTGAACATCTCGCTTTAAAAATTCACGTAGAATAGAGTTATGAATGTTTACAATAGTAAATCATGAACTCGCGTGGGTTCTAGTAATAGGATAGTTTAACTTTTTTGGCTTCTTTATGTATTTAACAAGCCATGCGGCCAGCGCTGGTGTTCGCTGAGTACTGAACGTTCGTTGTTTATTAACTAAAGGAAATTGAGAGGAATGACTGTGTCTAAGTCACACGCCGGTCGCTATATAGATTTTGTAGATACGAATATTGTTTTTTTGATCTCAATATGTTTTGTTAGTGAAGTTTTAAATAAGTTGCGGTCTTTATCTTTTTGGAGTGTGTAGGAATAGAGCATTGGTTACTATGTATTTATTAATTCGTCTGTCATACGCATTTGCGGTGCATAAGAACAAAACTTCGATTATCGAGTATTGCGCGGGAATAGATCCTGCAATATTTTTATGCAGTTGCCGGTTAGCCACTACGCCAATCGTGGAGCCAGTGCGTATGTATTCAGACCACCACGGATGGTGCCCAATAGGGCTGATGCCGATACAGGACTTAACGGGTTGCCGGGGCTCCGTCTCGAAAGGCTGGAGTAGGAACGGGGTGGTTTTTAGTCAATAAGAGTCTGACACTCCCTCCCGTCATACCCAGGCGCGAACAGTCATTCGATGATTTTCCCCACTTAAAAAAAAGTGCGTATGTATCATAATAATATATGTATGTAAATGTATAATTCTATTAGCAGAATTGTACTTGTATAAGCCTACACATTTTCACCATTTAAAATCCGGTGAGTGATAATTTCCACGTGTAAACCATGACGACAGGTAAGTCACGTTTTGGCGTAGATTTCCAAGATTTGGTCTGTCAGTAACGATAGTAAGGTTGCCTAGTCGGGTCGGACATAATTAGAAACATAACAACAATGACTCATTTGCCGATAACGTTTAAAGCTATTTCTTTGTTAGTCAGAGTTAACTCATTACTGAACTAGGTATGATTTTAACTTACATAGTTTCTCATTAGTTCTCAGTAACATGTTTTACAGGGACCATATCTAAAGTATATTTTTCTAAAAGAGGGTGTCGAGGTGTCTACTAACACTTCATACCATTCTGAGAGTATTGTTTTTGTAATCTTCCATAAACAAGTATAACTCTGATTGCTCTTAATAACTGAATTATAGTTTTATGCTTTGACCCTTGTAAACACTCAAACAATACAATACCAGCATTCAGTACCGAAGACATTTGGAATGAACCCATCCATTTAGATCTTTCAAACTTTTCGGGACGGCTATATGCGATACTTGGGGTGCGGTGCCAGAAGACCTCCCCGTGGTGCACCCTGGGTGCGGGCGACAGTCTCCCTAGCGGGGGTGATAGGGTTGGAGTGACTGTCGCCCGCAGCAGACTTCTGGACTGGGCGGGCGAACCCGACAGGGTTCTGGAGGCGGCGGGCTGTGTGCTCATGGCCCGCGCTTCCGTGGGGCGTTTCTCCGCCTGTCTCTCTGAACGTAGCAGAGAGCGTGGCGGAGAGGCAAGGGCGGTGCTCGCTGTGCACTCACCCTGCCAGCGAGCAGCATCGGGACACAAGCTGTCCCCGATTGCAGCCGTCGATATCGTAATCCGTAAGGAGGTCACGGTCATGTTTTGTGACTCTGAACGGGACGAGGGTCTTGGCTTGGTCGCCCGGACCGCGAGGAAGATAACCTCTATAAAAAATTCCTCCAATACTAAGTTCTGGTGCGCGGCGAGAGTATGCATGGCTGAGGAGTAGTGTCAGTCGCGAGCGCACCCCCAGCTAGGGGACCAGTGGAACCTCTAGTTGGGAAACAAATTAACACTTACCCAGGTACAGGGGGCACTGCCTGGGTGGACCGAATATTTCCCCCATACTCGTGGGAA